GCCCTCTGAGTCTTCCGGCTACGTCACGCTGCACTCAGACTCGCTGGGCTCTGCGTCCTAGGCCGCCCGGAGGGACCACAGCATCAAGGACGCCACCTCTGCCCCGCGCATGCGCGCAGAAATGTACCACCCGACCCAGGGGTAAGGAAGCAGAGGCCTCATCGCCTCTTTTTTGGTTCCTCCCTGCCGCTGTTTTCTGGAGGCACAATGGCCGCCCTAGAAGACCACACTAGGCACGGACCAGCTGGGCATGGTGCCTTCCTGGTAGAGGGCGATGGCCTTGGGTACTGAGTGTGCAGCTGGGCCCAGGCCCAGCAGAGCCTGGAGCAGGGCCACCCATAAGAACAAAGTCCACCCGGAACCAGAAGCCACTGGACCGCCCGTGGCTTTCCACTCTGTGTGGGCTGCAGAGGGTGTCTTTTAAGCACAGGGGTCTTCAGAGCCCAAACACGCTCTCTGAGCAGGTCTTCAGGGCTGTGACCTATTCTGCCTCAGTTTCCCTATCTGTGTTCAGCAGGTGACCATGTTATCTCAGGGCTGTTGGAAGAAGCCTCATGGTCCGTGTACTCTGGCCACTGAGTGGACCAAGAGTGCAACATTAGCCGGGCGTGGTGAGTTCGAGGCCAGCCTGAACTACACAGTGAGTTCCAGGTCAGTCTCAACTACATAGCGAGACCCTATCTCAAAAAAACAAGAGTGCAACATTGAAGGTTGGTCTTCAGCATGTGGCCCCCCTGTGTCCCTTGCCCCTCTGGGGACTCACCCCACCCCAGCTAAGCACAACACTTGCACCATCAGCAATAGCACCGCCCTCACCATTGCTAGTGACCCCTTGTTTACTACCCGCCATTGTTGCCTGCTCCCCAACGTGGTGGCCACCTTTGTGACTCCCACCACAAAGGCTGTAGGTCCACAGCGTGGAGGATTCGGCAAAGTGGAAGAGGGCTCTCTTACACCATTGTCCAAGCCCTGTCCTTGCAGTCTTGGCCCCACCCAAGGCCCACCTTCCGCTCCCTGCAGGACTGCTCTTTGCTGTTCCTCCTGGGCAGACCTGTTGCAGGCCTGTGTCCTGGGCCGGGGTCATAGCTGTGGCCTTGAGATGCAGAAAACGCCATTGCAACCATGTAGTGGCCCCTTGATGTGGAGACCTGGGGCCAGCACAGAGCCACTGTGTCGTTTCCTCTTCCCTCAGTGGCCTGGCCCATCTACTCACACTCCAGACAGGGTTCCATTTCCTGAGGATGCCCTTCACCTTGACTTCTGGGTAACTGGGAAATGAGCCGGCCAGCGGCCAGTAATGCAGGGAACTGCAGTCCCATCCCAGCCGTGGGAGGGGCTGCCCCTGGCCAGTGCTGCTATGCCTTCATGGGACCGAGTTATCATGTGTGGGAGAGGCCACCAGCTAGCCAGGGGTCACCTTGGGCTTCACTGCGTATTTCATATCCAAGGCAATACTTGCAGTGGGACGTCGTTTCCCCCAAATCACTCCAGCCCTGGTTCGGGATTTCTGGAAGACCTGGGGCGCTCTCCCACACTTCCTCTCCTCTCTGGGCCTGTTCAGTACTTCCTGGGGAGGGAGCTCTGTCTCCACACTACCACCCAGCCCAGAGCCAGGGATCCGTTTATCGTCTTTTGACAACCGAGCATTTCTCTTCTGTACAGGACCGATAAAAATGTCCTTATGATTTGCACCCGGCTTCTGAGGCTGATTCTGGGGAAACGCCCTTGTAGACCCCAGCTGGGCTGGCTGGGTGGCCCAAATGCGTCTCCCCCTGGAACTGAGTTCCTTGGCTACTGCACCATTCTTTAGGCCTGAAATTGCTTCTCTTCTCCAAGTCAGTACAGCCCCGCCCAGTGAGGGACAGCAGTGCTGCAGCCTGCGCCCCTGGCCAGTTGCCTGAGCTTGGTTCAGGCGGCAAAGCGGGGCAGGGCAGCTGGAGCCGGCCTGGGGCTCGGCAGACCTCGGCTTGGCCTCCTGGCCCTGCTACAGACCCAGGCTGCAATTCCTACACCGCCCCTTTGGGTCCGCGGTGCGAAGCCGCCACCTGGTGGCCTGGAGTGGGATTCATCCTGGCTTCTCTGCCACGCCCCCTGGAGGGCCCTCTCTGAGCCCATCATAGCCGGGTCCTCGCTGCAGAGCCCGCGGGGTGGCGTGAGAGAGCCGGGCCGCCGCGACTCAGTGGGTCCTTTTTTCCTCGAGATCGGATCTGAAGGCGTTTAGCACATGGGTGGGGCTGGAGCAGACCCCAAAAGAAGCTCACCTGAGCCAAGCGTGGTGGAGCACACCTGTAATCCCACCCCTCTGGGAAACTGAGTCAGGAGAATCGCAGCAGATTCGACCCAGCCCGGGGAATTTATCAAGACCTTCTCAAAATTTTTGAAAGGACTGGGATTAACTGTGAAGCTCTGTATTCAAATCCCCGGTATAGCAAAACAAAGCCTTCTGTACAAAGTTGATAGCTGTAGTTCAAAAACACACCGGGTCGGGGGATTTAGCTCAGTGGCGCCACGCAGGGAAGGTTCTGAGTTCGATCCCCGGTATGGGCGGGGAGACACAAAAACGCCCACCTGAGTAGGCTTTGTGGAAGAAATTAGAGCCTCCGTGGCCTCTACCCACGTCTGTGTTCGCCCTGTATTTATTCTGAGTTAAAACTTGATGGGAGGTGCCAGGATCTCAGACCCCACCCCAGTGGGTCCTTTGCTAGTCTTGGTGGCCTCCACCCAAAGTCGGAGTGCAGCAACGACTTCCATGACTCAAGTGCGGGGCGCTCCGGCACTGTCAAGGATCGGAGGTTCGGGCCAGCGGTCTTAGCAAGGGGTGCTGCGCCCGCGAAGGCGCCGGGGTCTCCCCT